AACTGAAACTGCTGAGCTTAAGAGTAGGGCTGTGGGGCTGGGATTGTGGCTCAGCAGCAGAGCGCTCACCTAGCATGCGCCGGACCTGGGTTCAAACCTCAGCACCACATAAAAATAAAGAATTGTGTTGTGTCCATCTACACCTAAAAAAAATAAATATTTTTTTAAAAAAGAGTAGGGCTGTGGCTATGCATCTACCTTGGGAAAGAAAAGCTGAGATGAAATTAGACAAAAGAAAATCAGTAGCAACTTCTTCAAAAGTTCAGAAGAGCTAAATTTTTCAGAATCTCCTCAAAAGTCTGTATCCATTGAACTTCATATCTTCTAATCATATGTCTTTAAAATAGCATTCTAACAATATACAAACACTTTGAACATAACACAATTAAAACTTACTATTGCCTCATACTATATTTTCCCCACAATATTTCAGAAGGCTTTTCTGGGCTGACCTGAGATATAGTCACAAATATGTGTGGGTCATATAGCTTTGGGTTATGTCACAGCTCGGCTATATGTTGAATTCTGCCTTTTGCATTTCAAACTTATGTTGTTTTTTTCTTTTTCCTAAGTTCGTCGCAGACTTTCTGAGATGTTCCTTGAGCTGAGTTTGTCACCCTCCATGCCCCCCAGCAGGACTGTGTGTACTCAGAATTTGGAAAGGCTGAAAGTACTGCAGAAACGTCACTTTCCAGGTAATTTGTCATCTCTGGTTTCTTTGGAACATGTTGATTGTTTCTTCATATAGAGAAAAATTATTTGTCAGTTGTGGTGGTGCACACCTGTAATCCCAGCAGCACGGGAGGCTGAGGCAGGAGGATCGTGAGTTCAAAGCCAGCCTCAGCAATAAGTGAGGTGCTAAGCAACTCAGAGGGACCCTGTCTCTAAATAAAATACAAAATAGGGCTGGGGATGTGGCTTAGTGGTCACATGTCCCTGAGTTCAATCCTTGTTACAACCCCACCTTCCCCCGCCCCCGAAAAAAGAAAGAAATAAAGAAAAAAAGTTTTTTACTCCAATGTTATATTACACTAACATACAAAGTCAATTTCAGGAAGTTTAAGGACTCCAATATTACTAACTAACCTTTAAAACTTTCAGTAGAAACTGTTTGTGAATAATTTTGTCATTGGGGTAGGAAAGGATTTCCTAAACCAGATCCAAAAATATTAAACAAAAAGCTCGATACATTTCATTATATGAAATTAAGAACATCTGTTCCTCAAAAGATACCTTAGAGATTGTGAAAAGCTATTACTAAAAACTTAAGGAAGGTATTTTCAACCCATAAACTGATGAAGGATTAGTTTCAGAAATAGAGAACTTATGCAAAATTTTAAAGGTAAAAGCAACCCAATAGAAAAATGAGAAATATAAAGATTCATTTCTCAGAAAAGGAGACACATATGTACAATAAACTTATAAGGATGCTCAATCCATTAATGAAGAATAAAATGCATTTAACATCATTAATAGAAAAAAAAATCATGTTTTGAAGATTTTTGTAAGTAAACAGAATCTTGTTCATCACTGCCAGAAGTTTAAGTTGGTCTAATCTTTTTGAAAAATGGGTTGGACATTGCTTGGTGTAGTCAGTTATTTCCAAAACTCTACCCTTCAACAATTTCTCTAGTTTCTAGAGAAAATGTATACATGTGCATCAGAGGAAGTAGACCCTTGTAGATCTGCCCATGAATACTCATAAATTCACTATTTGTATCACTTTAAACAGAAAACAACATCTATGATCACAACAATGGCCAAATATATTGTAGCATCTTCACATAGTGAAGTGTCTTTCATCAGTGAGGATGGGTGCACTCCAGTACATGTAAGCCCAGGCTGAGTCCAAGTAGTGTGTGTCTTCATCTCCTCACGAACTTAATCACAGATTTCCTTGATTCTTTTATTAAGTATAAAGTATTTAATAGTATTCCCAAACATAGATTTTCTTCATTTGAACACAGCAACTCAGGAGGCTGAGGCAGAGGATCACAGGTTGGAGACCAGCCTTAGCAACTTAGTGAGACCCTGTCTCAAAATAAAAAAAAAATCAAAAGAGCTGCAGATGTAGCTAAGCAGCAAATCATCCCTGGGTTAATTCCCAATATCTTCCCCCCCCCCCCACCAAATTTCTTAATTTTAGTAGTTTTAATTATGAGTATATTATGCACACAGAAGCAACAGAGATATAATTTAATTAATAAGCATATAGGGAAACCTATCTAAATACGCCCAGCTGAAATTAAAAGATAAAATGTAGTAAGTTCTATTTTAACAGTCCCTTTTTATTAAAAAAAATATTTTTAGGTGTATATGGACACAATACCTTTATTTTATTTATTTTTTGCAGTACAGAGGATCAAACCAGTGGCTCACATGTGGTAGGCAAGAGCTCTTCTGTTGAGAGCCACAGCCGAAGGGGCCCCAGCAAACTTCCAGCTGCCAGCAAACTTCCAGCTGCCTGCTGATGATTGGCTCACAGCGGCCCCAGCAACATCTAGCTGATTGGCTCCTCTGCGGTGATGCTTATTGGGCTGTTTCCCTGCCCTTTCAGACCACGGAGCTGCTCATTGGGGGACTTTTTTGGCTCCGCCCATGTGACCCAGCCAATCGGCCTCAAGAGCAGGAGGATTGTGGGAGGTGGAGAGAAGCTTGTGTGGGAGAGAGAGGCTTGTGGAAAGCCGGTGGTGGCAGTTGAGGCTCTGAGGGTTTTTCCTGAGCGGCTGTTTTGTTTGGCGTGTCTGGTTCTAAAAATAAAGTTAGTTTCTTTTGACAAGTGGCTCCTGATTGTGCCCAGCCAGACTGCGGCATTTGGTGGCTCGCAGGGGGAGCGACTGAGGGTAAGTGAAACTGCTCGCCCCTGAGGGCAGGGCGAGAGGATGGGTAGCCATTTTAAGATTCCTCTTTTATTTTGCTTCACTTTTGTTTTAAGTTGCCTGTCCCTGGAGATGAGTGAGACGGAAGAAAAACCGCTCACATCTGGGGAACGAACCCGCGACCTTGGCGTTATCAGCACCAGACAGACATGGGTTGGATTTTCAGAAAGATGATTAATATCTGCGACCAGCGAGGAGCTGAGCCCAGACACCTCCCCCACCGCCTTAGGTGGGCGCCATCGCGTCGGCCCGGGAGCAAGATACCAACAATTTTTTGAATTTTTTTTTGTTGTTGTAAATGGAAACAGTACCTTTATTTTACTTATTTTTATGTGGTGCCGAGGATCAAACCAGTACCTCAAATGTGCGAGGCAAATGCTTTGCCAATGAGCTCAGTTTCCTTATGTATATAATGGGGTTAGTAATATCACTCTTACTGGACTACTGAAAATGAGAGGGAATGCATTACTTGCCCTGTGAACTCCAGGAGGAAGTAAAGGAGGACAAGGGGGAAGGCAAAGAGGCCAAGTGCAGGAGATCCATCCAGGCCCTTGGCAGAAAGATGGGAGTGGGAGCTGGGGCCACTGCCTGCCCTGGGAACCCTGATAGTCATTCCAAGGTCAGCTCTTGCTTATTTTCTTACCCAAGGTGCTCAGCACAGAAAGGAGATGGGAAGAAGCTGGGGCTCCCCCTAGTGGGAGCTTCAGAAATTACTCTCAGAACTCTGGGAACAAATCCCCCAAAAGCCAGGGACAGGACATCTCTGGGTTTGCCACATTCCTTTTATTGAGTACCTGTGTTGTATTGGGCATGCTGGGGAACAGAAAAAAGGGAGAAGTCACAGCCCCTCTCCTTGCCAAACTCAATACTTGCAGTAATGTCACGTGTGATCTACAGTTAGGTCATGGCTCTAGAATCCCAGAAAAGCCTGCTGAGTGCCAACCCAAAAGCCCCTCCAAGATGCTTCCATTTCTAAGGTTCTTGAGTTCTTACAGGTGGATCTGGGACCAGGACCCCAGAGCTTCCAATATCTTGATCTAAGAGTTCAAAATGTATCTCCGTGTTGGGGCCTCACTGCAGAACTGGGAACCCAGAGGGGAGGTGTTGCCCTAGGGAAGCAAGAGGTCCCTTGGTAAAGGAATAAGCAAGATGGCTGAGCACCTCCCTTCTGTCTCCCTTGAGTTCCAGGTGATCTCTGATTCTCCAGGTGATTTCCAAAGCTGCAGCAGCCTTAGCAGGCTGGGACTACGCTGGGAAATACACATGGACAGGGCAGCTGGGATTCAGACTGTCTAGGAAGAAATAGATTTGGCCATGTCCCCACCCCACTGGAACACCTCAGTGGCTCCCACAGCCTGTGCTGGCAGGGATAGTCTTGACCCATCAAGAAGCAGCTCAGCTCCCCTTTGCCTGAGGTTTGGGTGGGGTGGGGGTTTTCCCTGTCCCCTCCCCCTTTCCATTCCTCTGTCCAATTCCTGTCCTTCTAGATTCTGAGGATGTGGCACCTTCTACGGGAAGCAGTCCCTGACCATGCCCTCCCTCACCCCTGGCCTGCCTGTCTCCCCTGTGCTTCTGCAGTGGAGAAGAAGAACGTGGATGCTGTGGGGGTAGGGCTGTGGCCTGAGTTAATATATGTATCCTCAGAACAATGCCTGCACACCTCTATCCCTATCACAAATGCATCTGGGAAGAGGTATGAAAGGTTTCATGAGTGGCATGAGTTCCCTGAGAATGAAGACTGCCTGTTTCTCCTTTGATCTCTCTAGTTCTCTCAATGCCCACTACAACACACACACACACACACACACACACACACACACACACATACCTGTGAAGGAATCAATTAAGGAATGGGCAAAGATGGTGCAGCAGACTGAAAAATGTTACCTCCTAACGATACCTATGTCCTAAACCCCAGGGTCTGTAAATGTCACCCTAATTGGAAAAGGATCTTTGGAGATCTGATTGAGGATCTGGCAATGGGAGATTATCCTGGGTTGTTGAGGAGAAGACCCTAAATGCAATCACATGTATCCTTAGAAAAGAAGGATCAGAGACAGACTTAACACAAAAAGAGGGTAATGCGAGGAGTGGGGGCAGAGATTGAAGTTTGGAAGCCACCAGAAGCTGGAGGAGCCAGGAAAAGAATCTCCTGAGAGCCTCTGCAAGTAGCACAGTCCTGCCAACATTTGCATTTCAGCCTTCTGGCCCCAGAACTGTGAAAGAATAAATTTCTTTTGTTTTAGCCATCCTGTTGCAGATAGCTTAGGGCAGCACAACAGCCACAGTAAATGAATAGTTTAAATATCATGTGTAAGTTTAATGAAAGGTTATGGGTTTTAGAATCCAAAACAGCTGAGCAATGCACCAAAGTCTGCTACTCTTCAAACTCTGGGGTTCTGGACAAGTTAGCTTCTCTAAGCCTCAGTTTCCTTGTCTGGAAAGGGAGGATTATAGTTCCTTACTTTGCAGAGGTCATACTGCAGGCATTTAATAAGAAAATGTTTGTGCCAGTGCCAGGTGTGGCTGGCATGTGGTGGTTCTTCTTGTGTCAGTATGGAGTGGCTTTGGACTAGTGTAGAAGAGGGTGCATTTCTGTATTCATCCATAGGTCTTGACTTCAGCATCTATCTTGTCAGGGAAATGGGGCAGGATTCACAGTTCTTCCTGCTCACAACCCTCTGAGTTTTGTTATGTTTTTTAAACCATGAATAATTTTTGCTTTGGAGGGGAAGAAGGTGGTGTGAACTTCGTTTCCTTCTTCACCTGTCTCAAAATAGACCTCGGTCTGGAGGGGGGCGGGGGGAGGGCATTGCTCAGAGACACAGCCAGCTCTGCTTATGGGTGCTGGGGACCCTGACTGGACTGGGGGCAGCAGGGTGCATGTAGCAGGACATCTTGGGACCTCATCCTTCCTCTGCTGCAGGACTTCATGTCAGGAAGGGTGCCCACCCAGAACCTTCTCCAACTATCAGAAGCAGGATTAGCTGCTTGCTAAATTTCCTTCCAGGATTCTTAGAAAAAATGGTGAAAACTTTACTAATTCTACCCAAAGTGGGCTCCAGATCCTATCATCAGCTGCAGAAATTACCCGTGAGAGTGGCTTTCTGGAAGGGCATTCACCTGTGGGTTCCTCAAGGTTTAGGAATCAACCTCCTGCCTGGGTCTCACCTCCTACTATCATAAACTCCTGCTTCTGGCCTTTTCCTCTACTGCCCCCTTCTGCCTAACAGGAAAACTCCTAAATCCAAGCTTGGATTGCAAGCAGGGGAGGCCCTTTGCAGTTCTAATATCTTCTTTCTGCAACACCATTGACCACACTCAGGTACACATTTATTGAGCAGTTATTATATCCCAAGCATTGTGTGGCGGACTCCAGACTCAACAAGGAGTGGATCATGCCCGCTTGCCTTGCACAGGCTGTTCCTCTCTCTGGGGTGGCCTACCTCTGTTCTCCTATTTATCTTCAGTTGCCACCTCCTCCAGGAAGTCCTCCCTGAGTCAGTTGCCCTCACTGCTCTCCTCCCCTTCTACAGTGTTTTCATGATATATGGTGATGCCCTGTCCATCCACTGTCCCTGGCCTGGTCAGGACACCAGGCCCACTTCTTAAAGCTGAAGGGATCATTTCAAGATCAGGAAAAGGGATGCAGGGTGAAGAATCAAGGGTGAAGGCATGCTTTCAGAGAAGCAGGAGTGAGAATGTGGATGGGAGCAACTGGCAGGAGCCGGAGAACTGAGGACAGTGGGTCACAGTTAGGCGTGCACACCTCCCCATACGTCCACAACCCTGCATGCTTTATGTTCTCTAAGGCAAGGACCCTCCCCATCAACCCAGAGAGACTGTCACCTGGGAACAGAAATACTAAAGTGACAAGGTTTCTGGTGACCAGCGCTTTGGGTGAGGGAGTTGCCTGAACCTCTCGAACCCAGTAATGCTAATAATCCCCTAAGGAGGGAAAAACAAACCCAGCTCCCTAGAATCTAAATTGGGCAAAAAGCCTTCTTTTGACAAAAGGAAACAGATAAAGATGTCCAGGAGATGACTGATAGTTAATTCAGTACCTCAAAAATTCTGCTATCATGAATACCTTTTATAAGTACCTTTTATAGCTGGGGCTGGGGCTCATTGGCAGAGCGCTTGCCTCGCACATGTGAGGCACTGGGTTCGATTCTCAGCACCACATAAAAAATACATAAACAAAATAAAGATATTGTGTGTCCAGGTATAACTAAAAAATATATTTTAAAAAAGCATCATCATCACCTCTTAAAAACAACCTACCTTTTGTTTTTCAAGTATAATGGTCATTGTAAAAATATAGACAAATGTTAAAAAGAAACAAAACATGAATGATGTGAGAAAAAAAAAAAAAAAGAATAGCATTACCCTAGATTAGGTAGAGAGAAGTGATGGGAAGGGAGGGGAGGGATTGGGGAGATAGGAAGGATAGTAGAATGAAACAGACATTATTATTATTACTGTGTGTATATATGTGAATGCATGACCAATGTGATTCTGCAACCTGTATACTCAGAAAAATGAGATATTATATCCCATCTGATTCAAATGTATGATATGTCAAGGTCATTGTACTGTCATGTGTAACTAATTAAACAAACAAACAAACAAACAAAAAGAAACAAAACAAAGATTAACCACTGTTATTAACACTGGATGCATTTTCTTTTTATATTTTCCCATATATGAACTACATAAACTACATATGTGTGTGTGTTGTGTGTGTGTGTGTGTATATATATATATATATATATATATATTTGTATTTATTTACATAATTGAGGATCAGCCTTCATGTACAATTTAAAAACTCTTGATTCTATTAGAAATTTCCCCCAAATTAAAACACTACTCTTTAAGTCCCCCACCTTACCCTGCCCCACTTCACTTTTCTGTGGTGCTAGGGATGGAACCCAAGGTTCCCACATGCTAGGTAAGCACTCTACCACTAAAACACATCCCCAAGGCTTGCCCATTTTTTAATATTTAAATATTTTTTTTTAGTTTTCGGCAGACACAACATCTTTGTTTGTATGTGGTGCTGAGGATCGAACCCGGGCCGCATGCATGCCAGGCGAGCACACTACCGCTTGAGCCACAACCCCAGCCACATTTGCTTGCCCATTTTTTAAAAACAAAATATCTTTAGTTCTAGATGGACACAATAATTTTATTATTTTTATGTGGCACTAAGCATCAAACCCAGTACCTGACACATGCTAAGCGAGTGCTCTACCACTGAGCCACAACCCCAGCCCAGGCTTGCCCATTTTTAAAGGAAATGCTTAGCTTCTAGAAAGTAGTAGGTGAATATAGGTGATTTAGTCAACATTCTGGTTGTCTTCAGAAGTTCTGATATTATAAATAATACTTTGACAAAAGTCTTAGTTCATATTTGTCTAATAAGGCTTGATTCCTAGACACAGCATTTCTGGGGCAAACAGCGTGGACTTTTATTTTTTAGTTGTAGTTGGACACGATGCCTTTATTCTATTTGTTTGTTTATTTATTTATTTATTTATTTATTTAATTTGTTTATTTTTGTGTGGTGCTGAGGATTGAACCCAGGGCTTCACATGTGCTGGGCCAGTGCTCTACCTCTGAGCTGCAATCCCAGCCCCAGTGTGGGCGTTTTTAAGTATGGTGACACAGAAAACGAGGCATAGTACATGTGCAAGTTCACCAGACCAGTCTTGACTGTCACTAGGTAGTAAATCCATCTTTACTAATTTGACAAATAAAAATGGTATCCAAGCCTAGTGCAGACATGCCCATAGTTCCAGCTACTGGAGAGGATGAGGCAGGAAGATCACTTGAACCCAGGCGTTCAAGGCCAGCGTGGGTAATAATGAAAACCCATCTTTTTTTTTTATTTTATTTTTTTATTTTTTAGTTTTCAGCGGACACAACATCTTTGTTTGTATGTGGTGCTGAGGATCGAACCCGGGCCGCACGCATGCCAGGCGAGCGCGCTACCACTTGAGCCACATCCCCAGCCCCCAAAAAACCCATCTTTAAAAAAAGAAAAGAAAAAAAAAAGGATCCCACTCTTTCAGTTGCTTTTTTTTTTTTTTTTAACTAATGAGTGCATTGACACTTGTCACCATATAGTAATTAGCAGTTGGTACAGTATGTCCTTTCTATGGATTAGCCATTCAGATTTGCCCTTTTTGTGTTTTCTACTGTGCCTTTTCTTATAATGAATTTCTATGAACTGTTTAAAATAAGACCAATCAAAGGCCATTGGTTAGACTTTTAATCTTGTGATTTTTCTTTTGGACATGGGACATTTTAAAACCTGGTAAGGCAGTCAAAGCATGATCTTTAGGATTTCTTCCACTGCTTCTATGAGTCCTTCTTTATGGTGACAGCCCCTAATGTTTTTGCCAACATTTCCAGCCAGCCTGCTTCCTTTTGGACAGGTTTTTTTTTGACCCTATGACTTGATGAAGCTGTGGGACAAGTTCAGCAATGACTGTGAGCAGAAGTGACTGCACATCTGGCCTGAGTCTTTGCTTACTGATAATGCTCTGTCCAATCTGGTAGCTACTAGCCACATGTAATTATTCACACTTAATTAAAATTAAAATGAGAACTATCAGCTTTCATTCTCACTAGCCACATCTCTAGTGTTCAACAGCCACATGTGGCTAGTGACCACTGCAGCAGACAGGGCAGCCTGGATTCTCTTTCTGGCACCACATGGTAGCTGATCAGAGACTCTGGGGCCTTAGGA